CCCCCCAACTTCCTCCGCCAGCGAGCACACCCAGGAGCTCCCCTTTCCTTTCTGGGCTCGGGGAGGGCGGACATCCCGGCTTCATCACCTGTGAAAACTTCGGATCGCCCTCTCCATTCTGCCCGCCACTCTCCTCAGGGCAGGGCCGCACCCCGCCTGCCACTGCGGCCTCCACGGGACAAGCCCCGGCTGTCATTCAAGCAGCCAGTCCCAGGGCCCCAGGACCCACTTCCTAGTCCCAGACGCTCAGCAACAACGAGGCAGGCCTCCGCTTTAAACATGTGACCACCAGACTCCGGTCCCAGAGCACAGCACAGGCCTCGATGGGCACCAAGCAGCGGCCGGCACCTGTTCCCCCAGGGATGTGCAAAAACCCCAGGAGAATGGCCCCACATACAGGTTTAGGGCTGGGTTCCTGCATTTTCAAGCTAGATAGACCTTAAAAAACGCCAAGTTCATCCCTGTCGTTCTATTACTAAAGAGACCAAAGCAAGCCCAAGCCCAGCCTAGGCTCACCCCGTGAACTTGTCAATGGGGGCTAGGCCAATACTCTCTTCCTGTCTGCCTGGTCAGAGGAGCACCGACTGCCCGGCAACAAATTCGGGAACTCCTGACTCGATGCTCCAGCTCTAACGGGGAAAGCAGCAGTGCAATCCAGAATATAAGAGGAAAACAAGTAGGTGGGCGATGGCTCTGTGTGGGCAGAAATGCGAATTCTTGATTTGAAGGCAGGATGATGCAGAGAGAGAGTAACAATCTGCCAGGGCCTCTCTGGGCACCTGACAAGTTGGGAAGTAAAAGGCTGGGGCGGGGGGACGGGGAGGAGAAGAAGAAGGAGGGAGGGAGGGAGGGAGGGAGGGAGGGAGGAAAACGAGGAAGTGAATGGAATGGAAGGAATGTGAAGATGAAGGAAGGAAAGGAAGGAAGGGGAAGAGAGAGAGAGGAGAGAGAAACAAACAAACCAAAGAAAGGGAAAAAGGAAGGGGGAGGAGGAAGGGAGGAGGAGGCTGTCTGCCGAGGTCCTCTGGGGAACAGAAAGCTGTGCAGTGGGGAAAAGGCTCCAAGAGAAGCAACGCCCCCTGCCCCCCACATCGGGTTTTCAGGAGCAGCAAAAGAGCCAAAGGGACATGTCCCAGTGGAGACGGAACGGGCAGGGATGGAGAACCAGATCTGGGAATCACCTACACCAAAAAGGTCCCAGAAGCTATGAAATGTCATGGTCTTACCACCATAGTCTGGTTCGAGAGTCTGAAAAATGGAGAATCTAGCTAAGGGCAGATACCAAGGTCGGCTGTAAAATGGCAACAGAAGAAGTGAGAAGGCGGACAGAGCTAGTCAGGAGGGCAAGAAATCTCTCGTGACAGAGACAAAGCACGGAGACGGAATCCTTCCGAGCAGCAAGGACAGGACGAGAGAAGGCCGGAGGTGCTGTGTGAGCGCAGGCTCCCAGATGAACGGATGCTCACACGAGCCCCAGCAGCTCTGCGAACTGAAAGGTGCATTCCTGACAGGACAGATCGTACACACACAAGTCCGTCTAGAACATTCCAGCATACCTGGGGATACACAAGTGAGTGTGGAGGAGAGAGCCCCCACCAGCACTGGCGCCTGCCTTGAGAAAACAGAGGGCTCCGGGCAGCAGGAAGAACCCTAGTCCCATGAAGTCGAATGAGATGTGATCCCCGGGCCTCACAGGGACACTCCACCCCCTCGCCCAGACTTCCAGCGTCATCACCGCAGCCCCTGACCCTACGTCATAGGGGTCACAGGCCTGCCGGCCACAACGGCCCCAGGACCGCCACCACCAACTGTCTTGTCCTGCGCGGCCGAGCCAGTACGAAGGGGGACAGTCGGCCCAACGGGAACCTGACAGGCCACTCGCGGGCTGTTAAGTTGGTTAAAGCAGAGTCAGCCCCATGCAGTTAGTAACACCACTCTGTTAATGCGTCTTCCACCATACACCATGACTGCGAAAGAAGGAAAAGAGCACAGCAAACAAATTCAGTTACCCATGAACAACGTGGGAAATATGACTTTTTCTTGCCTAATAAAAAAAAAAAGGAAAAAACATTACACAGTAATACAAGTACGATCTTCACAGCGTGTCCTCGAAGTGGTCTAGTCTACACCCACCTACACACAGCCCAAACGACACGAGCCCGGCTTACAGACCAGGGTACATGCTACTACAGAGATGAAGCGAAAGCGGATGAAGAAAACAGAACGTTTTCGAGAAAAGTCCGGTGGCTGTGCTACACGTGAGGTTTCAACACGAAGGGCCACCGGTGGCTGGAGGACACAGAGCCGTGCCGGGGAAGGAGGTCCAGCGAGCCACAGTCTAGAAACCGGCAGAAGCGATCAGACTAGATAAAACCCTGTTTCTGGGAAGCCCTCAGATCGCCAGAACTTACAGGATATTTTCAAATCACATGCACTACTATCTGAGGAGAAAGCGGTATCATGTGGTTCCATGTGGTCAGGCCTCACTGCATCTCAGGATTCTGAGGGAAGGGGAGGGGCGGGGAGGGGCGGGGCGGGGCGGGCACACGCGCACGCACCTCCTCTACTGAAGCCCCTCCTTCACCGTAGGGCACTGGTAAGCTCAGTGACAGAGCCATAGGCACACTCCTCCAGAGCGGGACACAGGACAGGCAGGTTCCAGAGCCAAAGGCTTTTTAAAATGAAGTTTTTCCTGCTGCTAAAAGTCCAAGCTACACACTTCTACGCTTCTGTAAGAAATGGTGTTTTTTCTTTTAACCCACCAGACTGAAAAGTGGAACTGGGAGGTGGGATATTCCCCCGCTTCCTTCTGCATCGTTAGATTTTACCTAGTCACTGCGGCAGCAGGAAGAAAGGCAGACTTTAGAGCCAGGCAGGCCAGAAGGAAGCCAGAATCCAAGCAAAGGGGCAAGGAAGGACAAACACAGCAAAAGCACCAGAGTGAGCCTCGGGGATATGGCAACTAGACAAACCTAATTCCAGAAAGAGGTTAATATCCGGGTGTGTATGTACAATCCATATAAACTAAGCACTCGGGAAAAGGCAGGCCCACAATAAGCACATTTAATTCTTACCATAAATAGTTCTATTAAAAATGTGTACTATTTAAGCCAAAACTAAATATCATCTGTAACTGTTTCTCTCAGGAGGCACGCCTCCAGGTTCGGTTCCGAAAATAAAGCCTACACGTGCATCCAGGATGTTCCTCAGGGGACAGGGGCTCCGCGACGGTGCCCAAAGCCCGCGCCTAGTTCCAGGTTACTCCGAATCCTCCACAACTACTTTAGACTGGGACCATCTCTGGGCATCCCTGCCCCGGGGCTCTGCATCAGCGCTCAGGAAGAAGCCAGGAGCAGTGACCCTGAACTGACCATGTTACCCCTCCCTCATCGTGACTGTTCTAAGGACCCTCTACATACAAAGGCCTCCCTCCAACCAGTCCATTTCTGGTTCATGCCTATTCTCACGTCACAGGGCATCCGAGGCAAGAAGTATGATGCCAGATAAAGACTAATAACTACTCTATTGCAGGTTAATTACAAGTTGCAAAAATCACAAGTTGGAAAAAATAATTAGGTACTGTTTTCATCGCTCAGGAAAACTACCCCTAAACTTCCCCTGTGAATGGCAACTTTCATGTAAAGTATCTATTTATTCCGCTTGCCATTACAGTATGAAAACAGGCACTCCTCAAGATTGCCCGAAACCCCTAAACCTGAGGAAAATTAATTTTATACTTACGCTCCCTGAGGAATCCCAACGGTCAGAATGAAGCTCTGATTCATATACTGCTATTCTAGAATGTGCTCCTTACTGAAATGTGTATCCTTGAAGGAAGAATTCCCGTAAGGGAGAGAGAGAACCCAAAACACTCCACAAGGGTGGACAAAAGGCGCTGTTCAGAGCGGACTGTGTGCTACACCCAGTCCTCCCTAAATGTGCCATAGTGAGGAAAGCTCCTTTAAGAAACTGAAATTTCTAGGGGCGCCTGGGCGGCTCAATTAGTTGAGCATCTGACTCTTGATTTCAGCTCAGGTCATGATCCCAAGGTCATGGGATCAAGTCCAGCGTTGGGCCCTGTGCTGAACATGGAGCCTGCTTGGGATTCTCCCTCTCACTCTCTCTCTCTCTCTCTCTCTGCCCCTCCCCCAGTTCTTGTTCTCTCTTAAAAAAAAAAAAAAAAAAAAGGCTGAAAATCTCTAGACTTGCATCTGTATCGCTTTCATAGAACAAGAACAGCCTCTACGACTCAAAAAACAAGCAAGGGCTCACAGTGCCTCAGCCGCTGTTCCAGGAACAGCTGCATTGAGGTGACGTGGTCAGCCTACCCAGACCATGGTCCTAACCGGTTGTAGCTAAATCAAGGCACATCCAAAGGATAACCGTGCAGCGTCGGTCTCTTTCACTTGAGGTACGACAATATGTGCGGACATGGAAAGATCTCGAAAGCCTAAGTCGATATAGCAGAGCAATATTTAAGGTACAGCCCCACAGACTCTCAAAAGCATGCGGCAGACGCAGAAAAACAGGACCCTACGTGCCTAGGAACAGGCGTAAGGGTGTTTACTCTACACACCTGTACCAGCTGGAACCTGCTGCACTGAGGGCGTACCACTGCTTCCAACTTACGCCAGTTTTGTTTTTTTTAATTCTCAACTCCCCCAAACCACCTTCTCATCATACTGAACCGGTGCCTCCTGAACTGTATTTGATCCAGAGGGTTCATATTTTTCTAAAACGCAGAGTCCGCACGGTCACGACCACAGTGCTCTCGTCCACCCTTACCACAAACTGGCCGAGAACATCTCCCAGCCTTGAAGCACCCTGACGACAAGGACGGTACCACGGCCACCTTGAATACCCAGAGCCTAACACTGCTGCCTCGCAAGAGTCTGCCTCCCGAGACGGAAGCCTCAGAGCTCCCAGGGCAACAGACTCCATGGGGACCTGAAGACAACAGATTTCAGGTCCCCTGAGATCTGGGTGACACCATCTCAGGTAGGTTTACCGGACACAGTTTACCTTTCCAAAGTTCAATAAGCTCACTTAATAACGTGCAACGTCACTGCTCCAAACTATCGTTTAAAAGGTCCAAGACTTACCCTTTGTCAAAGAAAGACGTGTGTCCTGATCGAGGGAACTTTGTGCTGTCGCTGTTCATCAGCCCACAGTTAACATTCCCTGAAAGATAGGATTTTCGTGATGCCTGGTCCTTTGCAAAATTCCTGCAAGCCGCTAATTTGGATTCTAAAGCCTACGGAAAGAAGGAGGAATGATCTGGTTGTCAAAACAGTAGCTGTACGTAAAAATCTGCATTTTAAGACACTTCTATTTCAAGACTAAAACTGTACTTTCTCAGTGGATAATGGTAGCCATTTAAGCCACAATCACCTCACTAACAGAAAGAGGGGATATTTATGCTGACTCTGACATCATGAGCTCAGAACAAGTTATTCCCCTCAGTGTTACCAAGGATTACAGCTATAATCCCGACCTTCACTAAGAAAAACGTGGCACGAGTAGACAGAGACAGATGCCAGGTTCCTTTCTGGGTTGTGGACTATCAGAGAGCCATTCATTTCCTACATTCAAGACACTCATTCATTCAAATACTTGCTGAGTGAACACCGTCCTACAGCACGACCTGTGTCTGAGAGATCAGTAGTACAGACCTGCAGTCTGACACTCGGGGAAAGAGTGGTCTAGAAACGAAGATTTAGAAGACATTCACACCAGGGAGCAGACAAGGTCACGGCTGCGAAGGAGATCAGGAGTTCAAGGACAGAACTCTGAGTAAATTCAACCCTGAAAGGGCGCGCATATGAAGACCCACCAAGATGACAAAGAGAACGGGCAGGAAGGCAGGAAGCAGACCTGACACAGGATCAGAGAAGCAAAGAAGGCATCACGTGCACATGCTCGCTCTCTCTCAAAGAAAGAGAAAAGGGGGGAAGTGCCTGGGTGTCCAGTTAAGCTGACTCTTAATTTCGGCTCAGGTCATGATCCCACTAGTGAGATCGAGCCCCACGTCAAGCTCCCGCAGAGCATGGAGCCTGCTTGAGATTCATTCTCTCTCCTTCTCACCTGCTCGCACTCTCGCTCTCTAAAATAAAACTTAAAAAAAAAAAAAAGACATTTATAAAAGAGTCAGTGTTGAATGTTTCAAGAAGTAGGGCAGAGCAAAGAGCATCCATTGGGTTTGGCGGTGCTGAGATCATCAATGAGCAGGGGACAGAGCCCAGACTGGGCTGTCTGGGGAGCATGAACGCGGCAAAAAATGCTAACAATAAATGAAGACACACTTTCAAAAAGCCTTGCTGTGAAGGGAAGGGAGAAAGAGGGTGACCGTTAAAGAGAGATATAGGGTAAAAGGAAAGAATGGATGCTTTTACTTGGATTAAACACTGTAGGATTCGTAATACACAAATATCACAAAGTATGTACGTAACATATAATGTGTAACCCGTAAAGATTACATACAAATATTCAAACACAGTAAAACGCTAAAAATATAGGAGACATCGACAAGAGGGCTGGAAGACCTGGGAACCAAGGCACAGAGGGACAAAATCAGCCATGGGCAGAACATGATACTTTGACCACGGAGATAAAAAGGGAGAATGGCTACAAACACAGGCGATGAGAGGACAGTAACAAAAGAAGGTAAGAGGGGAAACGAAGAAGTTGAAATCAGATGGCCTTGATTTCTCAGTGGAAGAGGATGCAGGAGTGGGGATGGAGCTTCCAGTTCAAGTCAGCGGACAAAGGAGGACAAAGAAGTGGAAAATGAAACATCCCTAAGAGCACGCAGGGCTGGCAAATAACCGCAGACCAAAAGCTCTGGTGACGTCTGGGAGGCAGGCTGTCAACTCAATGGATAAACCACACAGGGACTCCCAAGGTCACCATTCAGGCACCATTTCTGAATAGATCACTTAACGTAATAAGCAAAGCAAACAAGGAACAAAGAAAGTTGCGGACAGGAAGTCCAGGAACACGCAGAGCCAACCCAGGGGCGAAGGGCAGAGAACCGCAGCAGAGAAGCCACGAGCCTATCCAAGCGCAGGCGGGAAGGGACCGTGAGAAGCTGCGAGACACGAGACCTGGCAAAGAAAGGCCTGGCTTCTTCCACCCACCAGAAGAAGGTGGTAATTGATAGCGCCAGGAAAAGGAAAAAGGCCTACAGGCCAGCTAGGATACAAATAGGAAAAAACTGGGCATATTTTGAGTAAACCATAAAAAACCAAATGCTTGACACACGGTTGAGTGGCGCAAACAAAACGACCCAAGAGCCCAGCTCCTGCTCTACGATGGACAGTACACACGGGGCGGGGGGGGCAGAACACTGTAGACGCTACAAGTTTTCAGTTTTTACAACCAACCAGTGGAGAATGCAAGATGGGACAGAGAACTCACAAACACAACAAGGAGCTGAGAGTGTAATAAATTGAGAAACAGAGGTTTAAGCATGTCATTTAAAGTTATAAAAATAACCAAGAGACCAAAAAATAAAAAACTGGGGGGATGTGAGTTAACTTCTTTTTGCTTAAAGCTGAGAAGTCAAGACACCAAAAAATAAGCACATGATTTGAGTTATGGAGCTAAATACCATAATTCTTGTAATAAATGGGATTTTAAAAATGGTTAGGAGAGAACATGATGTACTGTATGAAATAATTTTTATTGTTTTTTATGCTAGGCTAAAATGCAGATTTAGAATTACTCTGATGGTCAGAAAATCACTGTATCGGCCAGAAAAGGCAGACACGGGACCCCGTACCGTGGCCTCCCATTTCTTCGCTATGTGACGCATAATGCAATTTCTGCTTTTTTCAGAAAATATCTCTCACAAAAAAGCATGTGAAGGGGCCGTGGATAGCGGGCAGTTTCAGGGGCAGATCACTGAGAAGAGAGGTAGAAGTCGCCGAGGGAAACAGGAAAGGGAACCAAAGCAGGAGACGCTAACTTCACAGTGGCATAAATCCACACAGCTACGTAACTGCTTCCTGAGATCCAGGTTCAGGGAAGGAGAGGTCCAACTGCTTGACTGATCCAGACGGCAGGTCTCGTCCATGGCCAAAAAGATCACGAGTCAGCAGTGACAGAGTAAGCCATCTGTGGGATATCACGGATGAGCACAAGAAATGAAAGCAAGAGACGGCTAAAAGGCCAAGAGGCTCCCACCACTGTAAGGTCAGAGAGTAGGTATTCTAGAAGGAAAAAACTGAATAAGCAGTAAAACGAGTTTAATATTTCAAAAGCCCAACTGTTCTGGAATACGGGTTAGAGCCAAGGAGACAGCACAGAAGCTCAAGTGGCCAAGGAGCAGTAACACAGATGTGACTAAGACGAGGAAGGCCCGTCGCGAGCCAGTGCTGAGTCCTGCAGAGACAGCCGAGGGGGTGGTCAGGGGGGCAGACTACAGCAGGAACAGGATTCAGGAGTGGCACAGAACACATAGCAGGCCACAGAGCAATCAGTGTAGAAAAAGATGGAGGGGCCACGATGGGGAAACGGCCATGGGGACACACAGAACGCCCCCGGGGGGTGGGGGTGGGGGGGCCAAGAGCTCAGCGCACAGGGCCGTCTGCAGAAGCACTAGCGGGCCCGAGCCCCAACACTGTTCCCCGGAGCACTCTCGGCTCATCACCAGATGCTTCTGTCTCTCTGCCTAATCAAGGCCTTCAGCACAAGAAGGTCCCCTTTTTTTCTTCCCTCCCTCCGAATTAAGAATTCAACACCTTGGCAGCTGAAATACGCGGGGGTAAATAATTGAATGCTTACCCCTACTTTCCGTAAGAGATCCCCCACGATGTTTAGTGCTGATATCCTAGCGGAAGGAGTTAGTGGACTGGTACCAAAACCGTTTGGTATAGCTAGAGAAAAAGAAGAGAGGAGTGGTTACACTTGTTGTTCCCTCTACATCTTGTTGCCGGTTTTGTTGTTGACGTTACAAAGCAGAATACGCGCCATGAAAAAGAATTCCAAACCGTGGACAGGAAGTACAAAGTGGGACACCATCAATATGTTGAACTGTCTCCTTCAACTGACTGATATTTAGACTACACCTAATTTTACATTACAAATAATGCTAAAAGGACATATATCCTTCAAACATCTAGACAAGGATTTCTGGAGAAGCGATTCCTAAAAATAGAACTGCTGGGTCACAAGATATGCCCATGTCGTCCACCTTAGGAGATACTGCCAAAATGCTCTCTGAGAAGGTTGTGCCAAGGTCAGCAATCTGTATGGCAACTCCATCAATGATACGAGACATTATCTTTTTCTTTTCTTTTTTTTTTTTTTTTTTTTTTTTTTTTTTTTTTTTTTTGCCAATTTGATAGTCATTCTGTTGTGTTTTTGTTTCCTTGCTAACTAGATATGTGAATCTCTTCTTCTGGAAATCATCTGTTTATCCTCCACACTTTATCTACTGGGTGGTCTTTCCTTTAATCAACGTGCAAGGGCCCTATCGACTGTAGACGTTCACCCTCTCTCTTCTAGGTCTTATACTTCTCAGTGTGACATTCATCTTCCAAGCTTTTTGTTTTGGTGGGGGAAGCCTGGGCTTCCTCACCTGGGTATCATAAATATGTTCCTCTTATGTCCTCCTTAGGTTTTCCTAATTTTTTTTTTAACATTTACATCAGTTGATCCATCAAATATCGAAGCTTTCTTCAAATGGATAGCCAAATGTCCTGATACCGTAACATGAAGACGACTCGTCTCATCTGAAATGGCACTTTTCATACACTGCGTTCCCTACATATTTTAGTTCCATTGACTTATTAGTCTATTGCACCAGAAATAGGCTGCTTTCATTACTGCAGCATTAAAACATGCTCTGCTGTCTTGAAGGGAAAAGCCTGTCGTTATTAGCCTATTTCAAGCTTTTCTTGGCACACTTACTCTTCCAGAGTAACTTTAAAATCAACTTGCCAATTTAAAAGACCCTCTTGGGATTTTCATTAGCAATTTAAATTACTCGTTGATTTGGGGAGAACGGATGCTCCAACAGTCTCCCCACTTGGAATGGGGTTATTTAGTGTGACATTTACTCACACCTTCTTGCACGTCCCCCAGCAGACGTTTTCAGTCATGCACGTTTCTTCCGTTTACTTTTGAGATGGTGTCTATCACAGTTAAGAGCTCTTGGGCTAAACTGCTAGATACGAATCCATCTCTGCCACTGAGTCACTGTGTGAGCTTCAGTAAGCCGCCCATATGTAGAAGAGGGCTAGTAAGAACACTTCAAAGTTGTTGTGAAGTTGAAGTTAGCTAATACACTCTCGAAACACCTGCCCATAGGAAGCACTCAATGCTACGGAGCGCTGATCAGCACGTAAACGCTTTGTTGCTGCCGTTCACTGTCCTTGTCCTCCAGAATACAATCTAACTGAAGGTGGGGACGCGGTCCCATTCACCACTAGACTCCTAGCATCTAGAATAATGCATGGCACAGAACAGGGGCTCACCAGGGTATAAACAAACCGCTGTACTTTTCTCGGCAGGTATTTCCAGACCTCGTTTTTCCCTATTATCCTCAAATTATTAAATCTGTGCTTTTATGGAAAGATGTCTTAGATGCTTTCTGGAAACCGGCAGTGTTACTCCTAAAATACAATTAAAGACAGACCACTTCATAGAGGACGGCCCTTCAGGCTTGCGCTGATTTCGCTAATCTCCGGCTTCTCGTCAGGTCTGTGCTGACTCATCTGTCACACAAGTGCGGTGATCTGGCACGCAGCAGCTTTCAGGTTGGTTAAAGTGCACGCTCTCAGTCCCAGTCTGCAAACGTCCCAGCCTACTTGGACAAATAGCACTGCCTCGGGGTTGACAATCTTAATCCTGTGCCAGAGCAAGCAAGCTCTGTGTCCCACTGACCTTGCCCTGCTCACCGCAGCCAAGTCCCTGAATTAAAACTCTAATGAGCTATGACGGGACGCGCACCTGTCTGGGTCTTACCTCAACTGAGCTCCCGATTCTTCTGATTAGGGCTCGACTGAAGAATTTTCAGAACTTAGCCACACAGTTCTATCAGTACCAGAAAGCAAACCTTTGTTCATTCTCAAATGTTAGGAATTCTGAGATCCTCAAATACACAAGCAGCCATTCTCCAAAACGGACAGTGAGAGTTTTTGACGCCTGCGACCATGTGCACCCTGCCTACTCTATGTCCTCGGCAGAAACCCCAGCACAAGCGCAAATAACACCACCCTAACGACTCTATGGCATTTTCCCGTTCCTGAGCCAATTTCACCTTATAACTCAGTGAAGGTAGGAGAAGTTCTCTACTGAAGGGCTACTGAGCACTTGAAACGTGGCTACTGCAACTGGGAAACTGAATTTTAAATGTTAATTCACTGTAATAAAAACTTAAATGTGAACGTCACACGTGGGCTAGCGGCTACTGTACTGGGCAGGACAGATAGAGAGAGCTTACTTCGCTAACTGTCTGAAGAGAAAATCTTCTCCTATCACTCTGAAAGAGAAGATCCTTTATTTAAAAAAGGGATGGGAAGAAAGAGCTCCAGTCTGGGAAGAAGAAAGAATGGAGGAGTGGGAGTGGCCGAAGTATCTGCAAGCTGCAAAAATGAAACAAATCTGAATGAAGCCCTGTGGGGGCTCCATTCTAAGGTTCTACGTAGTGGCCACTAAGTGGTGTTTCTGCTTAGCTGGATATACAAAACCATACTGGCTGACAGCAAAAGGAACATTCTCACGTACTGCTCGTGGATTACTCCGAACGTCACCTCTGAAAACGGCAGCCACCGAGGCACGTAACAGAAAGCCCACGCCCACCTGAGCCGAATGGTAACTCAGGGAGTCTCTCTGTACACGCCGTGTGTAAAGGCCTCTAGTCTTCGGTGATATGTGAAGTGGCCCAAGAAATAAAACTGTATTTAAATACGATCCCCAAGCTTATGTGTAACAAGGAGGTGTGGCACAAGCAAACACACACACAGCAGAAAAAATTCCGCATTAACAATAGCTGCCCTCGGGAATGCAAGCTGGCGCAGCCACTCTGGAAAACAGCATGGAGGTTCCTCAAAAAACTAAAAGCAGAACTACCCTACGACCCGGGAATTGCACCACTAGGCATTTATCCACGGGATACAGGTGTGCTGTTTCAAAGGGACACATGCACCCCCATGTTTACAGCAGCACTATCGACAATAGCCAAAGTGTGGAAAGAGCCCAAATGTCCATCGATGGATGAATGGATAAAGATGTGTATATACATATATATATATATATATGTATATACACACACGCACACACACACATACACAATGGCGTATTATTCGGCAATCAAAAAGAATGAAATCTTGCCATTTGCAACTACGTGGATGGAACTGGAGGGTATTATGCTAGGTGAAATCAGAGAAAGACAAAAATCATAGGACTTCACTCACATGAGGACTTTAAGACACAGAACTGATGACCACAGGGAAGGGAAGCAAAAATAATATAAAAACAGGGAGGGGACAAAACAGAAGAGACTCATAAATATGGAGAACTGAGGGTTACTGGAGGGTGTGGGAAGGGGGATGGGCTAAATGGGGGAGGGGCATCAAGGAATCTACTCCTGAAATCATTGTTGCACCATATGCTAACTTGGATGCAAATTTAAAAAAATAAAATTATGTTGAAAAAAAAACCAATAGCTGCCTTGCACCGGTTAGACTGCAGTGGGTCTTTTTTTTTCAACTTTTCAACATGAACCTGTATTCCTGCTACCATCAAAAACTCAACGTTGCTTTGAAAAACCTGCAACTTCTTAAAGACTCAATGCATTGAGCTGC